TCTCTCTCTCTCTCTCTCTCTCTCTCTCTCTCTCTCTCTCTCTCTCTCTCTCTCTCTCTCTCTCTCTCTCTCTCTCTCTTTGGTGTACCAAGTACTAACCTGTGCAGGTGGCGCCTTGTTGCAGGTACATCGAAGACGCAGCTCGAGCATGGCGCCACATGTAAGTATCCCTAGCGCTACCACTATTGTAGCCTTTGCAGAGTGCTGCTGTCGAATCCGGAAGACTGCCTCCTGCCTCCTGCATGTGAAGTGCCCGTGAACTGCCTGGGAAGTTCCCGTGAACTACCTGCAGCCTGCAGTGCGAGCCAGTACTATATAGTGCTGGCCCGTCCGGGAGGCTGCTCTTGCCAATGTCGAAACATGCCAGACCTCGACATTGAAGTTCAAACAAAGGTTGTCTTGAACCAGGCCCAAAATAGCCTGTGCTCAACCATGGTCTGATGCTTAAGTTTCAGGGCAGGTCGACTTTATGAGGGCCTGAAAATGACCCTCCTTTTCAGGCTTTTAGGCTGAAACGACACAGGGCCAGGAGGGCCCTTATTTTCTGTCTGGTCGGGCCCTGTAGGCCCCGTGTGGATGCGCAGTATGCCACCGCCCCCCCTCCTTGAAAGACCGAGCTTACCTGTGAGGGCGAAGCTGCCTGTCGGAGGGAGGGACCAAAGTCCGGGTCGGAGGGGAAGTCGTGAAGCTTCTGTAGCTAGTCTTTGTCGTTCGTAGTGAGCGTACATCAGTGGTGCAGATGCTTGCAAATCTGCTCGTGAACTCCAACGAGTATCGTCAGGATCGCATGCTTTGAAGGTAACTTTGTACCGTCGAGGCTTGTTGCCGTAGTTGCGATCCGTGATAACGAGGTCAATTTCTTGATGACCATCCATAGGCGGAGGTTCTTGCGAACGTCGGCTCGAGAAATTGTCGCTCTTCGCTGGTGTGTCGCTAGCTTCGAGGTGTGAAAGACTGAATGGACCTGCAGATGCGGAGGGATGTCGATCATCAAGGATGGGCCGTCGGGCTCGTCGCTTGCGGCTTAAAGGACGGTCCATGGTCCAAACCAATTGGGGAGCAGTTTGCGTGAAACATTGTGTTCGAGCACAAACTCTTTTGTGGGGACCCAAACCAGATTGCCGGCGCGGATGGGACATGGGACGTGATGCCGGTTGGCTTGCTGCTGCATGCAGACTTTAGCCTTTTGCATGTTCGCACGGGCTTGAGCCAACAATTCCTTGTACTTCCGGACGGAGGCGGGAGAGCAAGCGGCGTTTATGTCGGCTGTCCGTGGAAGGAGAAAATCAGCGAAGATACGACCTTTTCGGCCACCGTGGTGCAGCTCGAAAGGAGTCACGCCGGTCGCCGGATGCAACGGAGTGTTGTAGTCGAACTCGATGTCGGGGAGACGGTCAACCCAATTCTTCTGATCCGGATGGATGAGCGTACAAAGCATGATTTGAGCGGTTTGATGTGCCCGCTCCATTTGCCCGTCCGTTTGTGGATGCCGAGCCGAACTCGGTTTCATTTTGCTGGCGGATTCCTGCATGAGAGAAGTCCAAAATGCATATGAATCGAGTGTCGTGGTCGCTAACGATGTCTTCCGGTACGCCGTGGCTGCAAATCCAGGCGGTGTGCAAGAGGCGCACAAGTTCGGGAGCCGTGGCGTAGTACTTGCAAGGGAGAAATCCCGCGTGCGTGGGAAAACGGGCCGGTGACATCCATGGCAATGGAGAGGTCGGGTTCTCGTGGAATAGGCAACGGGCACAACTCGTAAGGATTGTGGCTGCAGGGCTTGCTTCGTCGACAAACTTGGCAAGCGTCGCAATGCCGAGTGACGTCAGTAATCAGGTAGGGCCACCAAAATCGTTGCCGAAGTCGTGCGATAGTCCGATTGACTCCGAAATGGCCGACGAGTCGCGAGTCCTGGTACTCGCCGAAAAGGCGAGTCCAAAGACGACGGTCTCGTGGGACACACAATAAGTCCTGGCCTCGCGAGTGGAGAAGCAAGTACCCGTCGACAATGCGATAATGGATGGCCGGCGGGTGATCCGAAGATAACTGCGCATAGAGTGTCGTGTAATTTGGATCAGACTCATAGCCCCGGATGAAGTGCAGTTGGAGTTCCTTGTCGAACGTGAAGGCATGATGTGTCATATTGCAAAGATTAGGTTTTCGCGATAGTGCATCTGCTACACGTTTGGAGAGGCCGGTGAGATGTTTCGGTGTGAAGTCACATTGGTTGATGAAGTACATCCATCGTCCGATAGTGCTGCTCACCGTATCCTTCGTCTTGTAGTAGGTCAACGAGTTGTTATCTGTGACCCATGTGAACCTACGACGCCCAAGGAGGAAGTGCCGCCATCGCTTGAAAGCCATCACGAACACAAGCAACTCCTTCCTTGCGTCATCAAGTGAATTGATGGGAGGCACCTTGTCGCTAAAATACTCCATAGGGTGCCAGTCTTTGCCGTCGTGTTGTTCCAAGACTGCCCCAATGCCATACCCGGAAGGGTCAGTGGTCACTCTCGTTGGCAAGTTGGGGTCGTAGATGCTAAGGACTGGTGCCATGAGCATGGCCGTTTTGAGTGCTTGGAATGACCGGCGCACTTCGTCGCTGAATACGGATGACACCTTTGACGATTGTAGTCTCGTCAATGGTGCAGCTATCCTTGAGTATCTGGTGATGAAACGTAGATAGTAGCCCCCCAACCCCATGAATTAGCGATCCTCCGTGGTGTCGGTGTGCTCGGGCCATACTCGATCTTGTCTGCGAGCGGACGGATGCCTTGCGGCGTCACAAAATGGCCCAAGCACTCGAGCTCTTGCCGCGAGAATTCACATTTATCACGGTTGGCTTTGTACTTGGCTTGTCGTAGCCGTTCCAAAACGGTGCGCAGGTGCTCCACATGCTTGTCCAAACTCCGACTATACACCAAGATATCGTCGAGGTAGATGAGTACAAATTTGTCCAGCATGCGTCGGAACTTCGTTGTCATAGCTGCTTGGAATGTGGCCGGGGCATTCGCAAGGCCAAAAGGAATAACCAGCCATTCAAAATGCCCATATCGCGTCTTGAACGCGGTCTTGTAGCAGTCCTCCTGCCGGATCTCGAGTTGGTGATATCCCGATTTGAGGTCGAGCTTGGAGAAAAATTTAGCGTTGCCCAACCGTTCGAGAAGGTCGTTGATGCGCGGGAGAGGGTCGGCGTTCTTGACGGTTTGCTCGTTGAGCTTGCGATAATCGATGCACAATCGTAAATCCTTGTTCTTCTTCCGAACGAAGAGAACGTGAACGTCGTATGGCGAAGAGCTAGGCCGAATACAACCTTTCTCAAGGAGGTCGTCGAGTTGTGCTCGTAGCACACCTAAACTAGTAGTACCTTTGTCAGTGTTGGGAAATTACAATGTACTGGTCTGTCCTCGAAGAAATTGGTGGTGGGACCCAGGGTCGGCGAATCCCATAAATCTTTGCAATGATGTCGGGCAAGGTAGTTTAGGGGGCCGTGCTCACAGTCTTTCTCTACGGAATGCATCCTATAGCAAAGACGGTTACATTCTGAAACTTGTTTTTTTTTTTCTTTTCTTTATTTCTCGTTTGTTTATTACGAGTCCCCTGCCAACGAGGCAGGGCGGAATCCGTGATCTGCACTGGCTGTGTTTCCTTAGAGGATTGTAACCTTGATGTATCCAACCATTTTCACGGCCGAATCCGTGTTTTCGTTTTTTTTTTTTTTTTTTTTTTCTACTTCTGGGATCTGACAATTTGGATTCGTGATCTGCTCGGGCTGTGTTGCCTCACATGATTGTAACCCTCATCACACTGGCACTTAGAGGAACGTATCCAACCATTTTCACGGCCGAGTACGTGTTTCAATTTTTGTTTGTATGTGTGTTTGGAAAATGACAACTTGGCCACGGGGCTGACATGCCCTCACTAAGGGCACACTCACACTACCACCTCCAAGAATGTATACAACTGCAATCACGGCCAGAGCATTGTTTCCTTTTTTTTTTGTGAGTTTCACGATCCCAGTTTTTCTTTTATTTTTTCCTTTTTTTTTTTTCCCCCGTGAGAACCGTAAAGAGATGGATTGGCACCCAGGCTCGGCAAACTCGGAGCGTAGTGAAATTTAGGGTCGACAAAAATAGGCTCGGAGGTACTGGTGGTTTAACTCTTCCTTGCTCATGCGGTAGATGCAACCATGTGGAGGTACGACCCCGACCTCGAGGATGATCTCATGGCGGATGGGCCGATCCAGTACTACTCTGTGCCGAGCTGCGAACACGTCGCCGTAGGCGTCGAGAAGCTCAGTGATGCGTGGGTTCGTCGATGCGTCCGTCGATGGCATGTCATGGGGAGGGAGGGCATGGAGAAAACACACCCCCATCTCCTCGATGTCGTCTCTGGTGATGGAAGCTCGAATGCTTGCGGCGGACACCATGTGACAGCTGATCAAAAGCTGAGGTGAAGGCACCGTGGATGGGACTAGTACTCCGTTCCGATCAGGAACGTGAATGGTGTGGCGGTAGAAGTTCACTGGGTGATCCTCGCTTCGCAGCCATGACATGCCCAAAATCATGTCGAACGGGGTGTCCAAAAAGTCGAAGGACATGGCCTTGCATGCGGGGCGAAGTACACGGGGACGGAATCAATGCACCAATCGATTGACTTGTGCGTGTGACCGTCGATCTTCCTCTGCATCCCACTCTTTCATGGACGCCTCCTGCTCTTCCCTGGTTACATATATCGATGCCGCCTCCTCTTCTCCCAGGGAAAGATTGGCCACCCATTTCGTAATCTTCTTCTCCAGCGGATCTTCCTTCGCACCTCTGGGTCCTGCTCTTTCTCTTGTCCTTCTCCTCTCCAGTGGCTTTTCTTCTACCTCTTCTTCTGCCTCTACCGCTTGGAGTTTTTCTTCCTCCTTTTGCAACCTCTCCATTTCTCTCACCATCTTTTCCTCAATCTTCTTCTTCTTCGCTGCTAGTTCTTCCAGCAAGGCCTTCTTCTTGGCCTCCTTCTCTCTTCTCTCTTTCAGGATGGCGGCGGCTTTCGCCTCCTGTTCTGCTGTGTAAGTGGAGGTGCTTGTTCTTGTATGCGTGTCAACCATGGTGATAGACGCACAACCAAGTGACGGTTCCACTCCTCACCACTTAGACTCTCCCCCTAACTGACTCAACTTGAGACCGACTCAATCTAAGGACCACAGGATCCGAATCGAACCCTGCCAACTATGGTCTCTAGCATAGTTGCGGCGCACGTCGGTGCGCCGGTTTGCGCAAGTTTGCGCACGTCGCGCTGCGCCGCGCACTGAAGCGCAGCGCACTTGAAAAATTAGGTCCAAAAAAAAAAGAAAAAAAAAGTAGGGGTTTTCTAATTTCTTAGGGCCCCCAACTCGGCAAAAATGTTAAACTCACCGCGCAAGTTCACAAACCGGCCGCGCCCACGGCTCAAACTTTCTTTTGGGTACGGGCTGCTGAAAATTCGATTTGCGCAGGCCCTTCCCCAAAAAGTTTCGAATGGCGAGGCACAAAATAGGGCTCATTCCAACTTTTGTTTTAGGCGGGGTATGAGAGCTGTCCTTCCCGCTGCCTTCTGCAAATCCCACACAGTAGTGGGGTCAGTTGGGGTCAGTTCGCAAGAAGGGGTAGTCGCCTAATAACGACATGCCCCGCGAAGCTTCGCAGAAGTCGCAAATTGCATGTTCTATCGCCAGCCGACCACCAATATATGCTGAAGATTGGCGTTCAGGTTCGCATGTCGGCAATTATGGGTTAGGATGAAGATGCCCGTGGCTCTCTCGTTTTTTTGTTTTTGTTTTCTTACGAATACGTCCAGTGGGGCCTGCTCC